GATTCGCATAACATGGCAATTTTTTGGAACGTAACTCCAGTGTTATACGGGGGTAACCCCTGTATAACACTGGAGTTATACTGTAATTAGAGTTTGGAATATGATACTGAATGGCAATCTTAATGTTCTTCTTCTCTGAGAATTTGAAATTCAAAAAATCTTGTAATTTTTTAAAATTTAAAATTTGTCTTTTCAAATTTAAAATCTTAAATTCCAATTGTGTGTTTTTATGTTGCACTAGCATCTCTGAATTGAGCATCCCAAATATCTAGTGAGCTAATTAACATTCCAGGGAATGAGCCAGAAGGCTTATAAACACATTGGTTTTGTTATTACAAACTCTAATTACAGTACAACTCCTGTGTTATACGGGGGTAACCCCTGTATAACACGGGAGTTGTACTGTAATTAGAGTTTGGAATATGATACTGAATGGCAATCTTAATGTTCTTCTCTGAGAATTTGAAATTCAAAAAAATCTTGTAATTTTTAAAAATTTTAAATTTGTTTTTTCAAATTTAAAATCTTAAATTCCAATTGTGTGTTTTTATGTTGCACTAGCATCTCTGAATTGAGCATCCCAAATATCTAGTGAGCTAATTAACATTCCAGGGAATGAGCCAGAAGGCTTATAAACACATTGGTTTTGTTATTATTACTAATGTAGTGAGTTCTCAGTACAGCAGTGTTCATTTGATTAATAGCAGTCACAGAACCAATGTCCAGTGCATATAATACAAAAAAACAAACACTGCACAAACATTTTCCAACTCCTCCTGAGTTCTTCTTCAGGTACAAATAAATGGTTATCCAATGGAAAATTAACAGACCTAATGCCTATTTGTAAAAATTTTAAAAACAATGTAATTCAAACGATTGTTCAAAAATATAAACACCGTATTTACTCGCATATAAGATGACTTCACATATAGGACGAGGTACAACTTTAAAGATCAAAATAAAGAAAATTAGATTTATTAATACAATTCTAATTTTATTTCGTTTAATTACAACAAATAAAACATCAAATGAACATAAATGCACACATTGTCCCACAAAAATTACTGGCATTTTAAACTTTAAAGAAAAATATTGTAAAATCCACAACATAATTTGTTCACGTAAAGCTGGACAATCGGGAACCTTTTTTTTTGCCAATTCTTAACAGTCAAACCCACTCTCCGTAGATTACACTTATGAGTTTCTGCGAATTCTGATTTCTGAATAATAATCTGTTTTCACATGGGGATGGATTAAAATTTATATCGGGCTCCTGTGTGATTTTGCAATTTCAGTCTGGAACTCAATTCTAAAGCTTTGCTTTTCCTATTGCTATTCAACTTTACTCCTGACAATATACAAGAACGATTCAAACGACCTAGATAAAATACTTGTTTTTAAATACAAGAGGGTGAGCATCCGGTAAAAAATGCAAATACACAGTTCACAAAACTTATTTGCAAAAAATGCAAAGAATCTTTTGCTTGTGCATATACAGTTGACCCCCCTATAACGTACGTTCCTATAACGACAATTCCTATAACGTAGCGAAAAAATTGTAGCAACTTTCGTATAACGTACCTCCTATAACGTCGTTTCGCGACAAGATTGATAGAGTCTGGACCAATAGTGGATGAGCAGCCGAACTACTTTCCTCCGACCCTGCGCCACGCTACGGAGCGGCTAAATTGAGTTTGCTATCGTCTGTTTAGTATTATATATAAATTATATATAAATTAGGTACTGTACATATAATTATATATTAATTATATATAAATTAGGTACTGTATATATAATTATATATTAACTTAATTTATTGTAACTTTATTATAATTATATATATGCTTTCTGCCGCCTGGCAACACGCTACGGAGATTTTAGGCTAGTAAGTTGAGTTTATTATCGTCTGTACAGTATGTAAATTAGGTACCGTAAGTCTAATACAGCACTAATTTTATACATTTCTTGTGAAAGAAACACTTCTTATTCAACGGCCATAAAAATTATTTATATTAATGATGTCTCCAAAGGTCAAGTTATTTTTCCGCCAAAAATTCGTTATCAGAAATTGCGGCCGTCGTTTCGCGTGCTGTTCCGCGATGAAAACCAGCTTTAAGCAACGGCGTAGTCGAACGGTGTAAGTAATCCTACAATTTTTTGTTTATAGCATAGTTTATACAGATTATTCCCAAAAAATTATACGTATTTTGGAAATGTTGAGTGGAATTAGTCTAGAATCGGTTAATTTTATAGAAGAAAAATCTTTCAAACAGCCTTAGTCCGTAAAGTTCCCACCTATCGGGCTGCAATTGGATCATGTATTTAATCGTTCCTATAACGTAAAATTCGATTAGCGTGGAACGTATCTAAGCATTATAGGGGGTCTACTGTAGAATGATCTAGGAATTTGAAGCTGTGATAAATGAATAAAAACCTTGTCTTATATGCAAGTAAATACAGTATAAATTTAATACTGCATAAACATTGTTATATGCATAACGATCATTCAACTAACAACTATAATGTTGTTAGTTGAATGATCATTATGTAAACAGGGCCTGTCAGGCCATCGGACAACACCATTTCCTCCTTAAAATTTATACAGGATAACCCAAAGTTAGCTTTAAAAATTTTTATGGCCTCCAACCATCTGCATTGCTGTGTGTGTGATGTGAGGACTTTGGTCCATGTAAAGTCTGCATTTATGGGTCTGTCATATATGTAGAGAGGGCTGTGGATGTTCTGGCATGTTGCACGTCTGAGATATGCTCTTGTATTCTTCTTCTCATACACCTTCTGTACATTGGTTTCACTAAACATTCTTGTTTAGTGAACCCAATGTACAGATGGTATCTATCACATCTGGTGTCTCTGATGAGGATACTACATATGCTGGGAAATCTGCTAAGGTTTGGAGGGTCCTTTCCATTTCAAAGGAATGTGAAAATAAATGAGCACCTCTGAAAAGTGATATTAATTGCATATTTCCTGATGATTTTTGCAAATAATGAATGTAGGAAAAGGTGGGAAATTACAAACACTTGTTCCACCTTCCTATCATGGTCTGTTATAAAGATGTACAGTACCTTGGGCATAGATTCTGGAGGCATCAGGTGGATTTGATCCACTAAGCCATGTACAACTGTTCAGTAACGTTGACATAAACCAAACGCCTCCTCTCAACATCACACACAGAGCATCTCACATGGTTAGAGACCATAGAAATTTTTAAAGCTAACTTTGAGTTATCTATATATATAAAAATGAATGTATGTCTGTGTGTGTGTCTGTGTGTCTGTCTTATGTCCTTCATGCATTACCACACCGTTTATCCGATTGCCATGAAACTTTGGGAAGTTGTTTAATATACTCTCGCGCAGGTTTGTGGCATAGTACGATTGCCATAAAACTTAGAAAAGTTTTTTANCATTGCGTCGCAATGACTATCGCGATTAAGTTGTTGCGTGATGTCTGTTAAACCCTATAATATTGTTATTTATTTATATTTTTCTACTTTTTTTGTAATAACATTGTTTTCAAAAGTAATGTCTGGAAGTGGTTTAGTTTACTCTCGCGCAGGTTTGTGGCATAGTACGATTGCCATAAAACTTAGAAAAGTTTTTTAATACACTCCCGCGAAGGTTTCTGGCATAGTACATTTAACCCACGATAGATGGCGCGCGTTTATACGAGTGTATCGAGACAGTGTGTTCGATCGATTTCAAATTGTGAAGACCATTTTCCCCTATTTCAAAAAATATTTCTATATATGCATTTGTGAACTGTTATTTACGATATTTGTAATAATTTTTGTTTAATCACTTTATTTTAACTTTTGTTTTTCTAATTATGTATTCGCTCGAACTTCGTTAAAACCTTAAATGTACTCCGAACAACAACCGAAGTCATAGGAAGAAATTCGCGTATTCTACCGATCTAGGTATTCCCCTTTTCCAAATTTTAATATCGACTCAAAATAATTTAAAAAGACAAATTACAATAATACGGTTTATTATCCAACTATTAGAAAGTTCACAACGTGCCAAGGAAGAGAGGAAGGAGCAATTAAATAATTAAAATTATAAAGGANATAGTATTTGATTTATATAACTACAAATGTTATCTTACATAAGGATTTATCACTCCAAGTGACCAATCTAACACATTTCTAAAATTCTTTGTTCCTCTACTGTACACAGTTTAAAGAATTTTTTACATGTTAACTTGGTCACTTGGTGCAATAAACGTTTATGTAAGATAACCATTGTAATTATATAAATCAGATACTATAATATAAGGGTTAAGAATTTTAAAATTAACATAAATTAATAAAATGAATTAAAACAATTAAGAAATGAATCTGTCTCTGTGTATCAGTATGAATTGTGAACATTATAAGATATGCAGGATATGTCATTTATGTGTAAAATTTTTATTTTGAAAAATCAAAAACTTAAATTGCCATTTTCAACAATTTGTTATATATTTACTAAAAATATAGTATATAAATAAAACTGAAAATTAATTTATCTGATAGTTCCATAATATACACAAATGTGCTAAACTAAAATGATACCAACCTAATGTTTGCAAAATTTTTAAAAATTTTCAATAGAATAAAATTCTACTATACAGGGTGTCCTAAAGTTTCCATACATACAAAGGTGAAATGTAACTATTCACAAACATTAAAATGTCAGCATTAAGATTTGTGTCAGTGGATTGACAAAGGCAACAAAACACATGGATGATCTGCCAATGGGGTAACTTCTAGCAGGACTTCCTATGTGGAAACTGGATTCTGTTTAGGTGTTAGACACTTGAAGAAAACCTAGAACACTACATGGTGGTCAGGCACAAACCAATGACCAACTACCAGTATTCAATGGTTTTATTTGTTCAGCCACTGGTGGGCTTGATTTGTGTCACTGTATGGAAACTTTTGGGACACCCTGTAGAATATCAAATCAATAAATCAAAACAGTTTCATTTTTGCTTACGTCTTTAATGTTCCACTTGTCATTAATTCGGTAATTAAAACTAAATATTTTCGTTTTGTTGTATTTACTTCCCAGTAGTCAAAAAATCGGACAATGTTCGGATGCTGTAAGCCTTTTAACATTTCTGCTTCTTCACGAAATCTTTGGCGTTCACTTTTGTTCAATCTTTCCTGTAAATAACAATTTTATATTTATTATAAGCTTATCATTAATAACTTTTTTGATTTGCAAAACTTTACAAGAAAAATATTTCAATTATAGTTCAGCAATCATTAGTCATGATAGATTGATGTATTTGTATATATTATTACCAATTTTGTATTTTGTATCATCACAAAATTACCCTTAGTGACAACACGTTTTTCCCTCAGGCATATGCAAATCTAGATGATAGTATTACATAGTCTGAGAAAAAACAAAATAAAATTCATAATCTCGAATCAAAAGTAGAGAGAGAACAAGAAAGACTAAAAAGCAAAGTAGATTGGCATTAGCTATTTGGAAGAAAATGAAGTAGGCAAAGAAAAAACTAAGAAAGAACTAATGCATCACAACATAAATTGACATTCACAATGATCTTTACTGGAATATAAGGGACTGTCTTCATAAAAGATGTTTCACTCAGATTATCATCATCATCTTTTCAAAATTAAAGATTTCTTCATCATCAAAATAGGAGCAGCATAGATTTTATAAGCATATTTTAGACTTTGCATACTTTGTTTGTTACTCATCAATTTTCACATATGATAAAGTATACATTTGAGACAAAAGTGTTTCCATGGGCAGTCCCATATCAGGAATTCAAAGTGAACTTGTCATCCATCAACTAGAAAATGCAATACTACTGAAATTCCATCTCATTCTAGTATATGTTAGATATATGGATAGCATCTTCATCCTAATGCATAAAAACCAGATTTACATTTTCTCTGAAAAATTAATGACAACCGTTATGGTCTGCTCCTATAATTGGATTAGGAAAGTGGTCCATTTGTATTTTCTTGGACATTTCCAGCACATGCAGGGGTGGTGAACTTACTATCAACATATATCATAAAGCTACACATCAGCCAGTTCTAATTCTTTACAACTCAGTGGATTCACACTGCTTAAAACTCTACTTTCAAGTCCTTGATACAGAGGGCATTTACACACTGCCCTAGTATCCTAGACATCATAACTGAGCTCAAGGATGTTGTAAGGATTAAAAAACAACACAAATATCAAACTGATATAATACAACAATTATTCATCACTTTTCAATCATCTAAAACCAGCCAGTACAACCTAACCATAGGAGAATTATTCTAAACTGCTTCCATGCTGTAAGAAAAATATGTAAGTGGCCAAATCTAACAACCTAAATTTAGTATATAAATGCAATCTGACTTTCTTCAAGATCTTAAGAAACAACAAACTCCATTATGATCATAATAATTTCTGTGAAATTTACTCCATCCCATTAGAAAGCCACTGATTTAAAACAAAGCTCATATACTACCAGACACAATCAGAGGATCAAAAAATGACTTTGGCAGTTTTTGCTAACCACTGATGTCCAAGTGAATCAGGAAGATGCTAAGATCATCAGACGTATCCTGAACATCAATTCTCTTAAATATGTTAGAAATTTATAAAGCTAATAGATGTGCATGCATCAACTACCATTATGCACACATCCCATCTATTGCATGGCATTCCAAACAAGAACTCCAGCTTATATTATTTTACTTTAACATATTTCATGTTTTTATTATTTTATTTTCATTTATTTTACCTTTCTTATTTCATTTTATATGTCATTATTTTGTATCATTTTTCATTATATTTGAATTTTTATTTTATAAAAATGATTTTAATAAATTTTTATCTTGTATTCTTGCTTTGTTTGAACTTTGTATTCAATAGTTCAGTAACTAAAGAAAACCTGTTAATTTGGTCAAAAATGTTTTTACTTATTGTATCAAGTTTCATAAATGTATCAGGTTTCATGATGTCTATTTATTATGTGGAAAAGCATCAATTCTAGTAAACCACATGGAAGAATATTTATTTTAAATCATTACAGAATATTAAAGAATGATTCCCTATCTAAATAGCGGGCCTGAGATCATACGTATTATCCATTTTTTCAGATGCTTTGAACAGAATTCTAAAATTGCTAATTGAATTGATGACAAAAGACAATCACATTAATGGCAAAGCTAAAAGCAGGTTATTATGTGCCTTAATCAAAACAAACTATCACAGATATTTATACCCAATGATGTAGGAAATAAATCAGTATGGCAGACTTCATATTATAAATTCACTGGTGTTCTAATTAAGACTATCAATCAATAAACCTGAGTCTGTCTTATAACTAAGTCTGTTTTAAATCAGGAGATAAAGTTCAGTTATCAAAATAAATTTTATTCACTAAATTAAATGCATAGCAGATTTTGGAAATGATAGGTTTGCTCTATCCAGAAAAATACACTCTTCAGCAAGACAACATGCACCTACATTTTGCACAGACAACACAACAATGGTTCATAAACCACAACATCAATGTCATGGACTGGCTGGCTTTACGCCCCCAACATTAACCCAATCAAAAACCTGTGGGATATTCTTGAGACCCAGCTGAAGCACCAAGATATCAAAAAATAAATTATCATAAAAATGCAAAAGAGATTTCAGACATGACTGATGAGTCACTTGTGAGCAGCATAACTCATCAACTTGAGAAGTGCATTGTAAAGAACAAAGCAATGATTAAATTCTAATTTTCATGATTAATTATAAGTGTGAAGTTTGTGGCTATAAATGAATTTTATGATTTGAATGAGATATAAACATGTGAAGAAGTATTGTATTTGTCACAAGTTTTTTTCCACTTACTATATACAGGTAACCCCCGTATAACACGGCATTTCTATAGTACGAATTCACTCTAACACGGTTCGAGAATTGGGAACATCCCCCATATAACATGGTGCTTTTATAGCACGAGTTCACTCTAACACGGTTCGAGAATTGGGAACATCCCCCATATAGCACAGTGCTTTTATAGCACGGGTTCACTCTAACACAGCTTGGGAATTGGGTAAAACCCTCGTACAACATAAAATGTAATAAAGGATGCGTTCATTTATACCTCCACGCAAGCATTCTAATTGCTTTCATGGCTACTTTGAATGCTCTTTCAACAAATAATCCATTTAATGGTTAAATCATACAATTGGGACCCTTCTTTTGCCTCTAAAAACTCATTTTAGAATTATAGATTCCTCCACACGATATTATCATTAGTGCAAGCGCTGCCATCTTTCTTTCACTGTCATTCCTAAATGCCTACAAACAGCAGCGCACTCCCAGTGCAGGGCGACCGCTATTAACAAACGTTAATAGTTACCTAAAAACTGTTACTAGTTGATGATGCTCATGCTGAGATCATATAAAATGAAAAATCCTCTGGTAAAATATTTACTTAAATAATAAATAAGTATTTTACCTAAGAAAAAAATGAATAATAAATCCGATTTAAATAACGATTTAACAACATGTTTTTTAATTTTTGGAACTTAACCCCCCTTTCGCACTAGTTTCATATAACATGGATTCGCATAACATGGCAATTTTTTGGAACGTAACTCCAGTGTTATACGGGGGTAACCCCTGTATAACACTGGAGTTATACTGTAATTAGAGTTTGGAATATGATACTGAATGGCAATCTTAATGTTCTTCTTCTCTGAGAATTTGAAATTCAAAAAATCTTGTAATTTTTTAAAATTTAAAATTTGTCTTTTCAAATTTAAAATCTTAAATTCCAATTGTGTGTTTTTATGTTGCACTAGCATCTCTGAATTGAGCATCCCAAATATCTAGTGAGCTAATTAGCATTCCAGGGAATNAGAATTTGAAATTCAAAAAATCTTGTAATTTTTTAAAATTTAAAATTTGTCTTTTCAAATTTAAAATCTTAAATTCCAATTGTGTGTTTTTATGTTGCACTAGCATCTCTGAATTGAGCATCCCAAATATCTAGTGAGCTAATTAACATTCCAGGGAATGAGCCAGAAGGCTTATAAACACATTGGTTTTGTTATTACAAACTCTAATTACAGTACAACTCCTGTGTTATACGGGGGTAACCCCTGTATAACACGGGAGTTGTACTGTAATTAGAGTTTGGAATATGATACTGAATGGCAATCTTAATGTTCTTCTCTGAGAATTTGAAATTCAAAAAAATCTTGTAATTTTTAAAAATTTTAAATTTGTTTTTTCAAATTTAAAATCTTAAATTCCAATTGTGTGTTTTTATGTTGCACTAGCATCTCTGAATTGAGCATCCCAAATATCTAGTGAGCTAATTAGCATTCCAGGGAATGAGCCAGAAGGCTTATAAACACATTGGTTTTGTTATTTTTACTAATGTAGTGAGTTCTCAGTACAGCAGTGTTCATTTGATTAATAGCAGTCACAGAACCAATGTCCAGTGCATATAATACAAAAAAACAAACACTGCACAAACATTTTCCAACTCCTCCTGAGTTCTTCTTCAGGTACAAATAAATGGTTATCCAATGGAAAATTAACAGACCTAATGCCTATTTGTAAAAATTTTAAAAACAATGTAATTCAAACGATTGTTCAAAAATATAAACACCGTATTTACTCGCATATAAGATGACTTCACATATAGGACGAGGTACAACTTTAAAGATCAAAATAAAGAAAATTAGATTTATTAATACAATTCTAATTTTATTTCGTTTAATTACAACAAATAAAACATCAAATGAACATAAATGCACACATTGTCCCACAAAAATTACTGGCATTTTAAACTTTAAAGAAAAATATTGTAAAATCCACAACATAATTTGTTCACGTAAAGCTGGACAATCGGGAACCTTTTTTTTTGCCAATTCTTAACAGTCAAACCCACTCTCCGTAGATTACACTTATGAGTTTCTGCGAATTCTGATTTCTGAATAATAATCTGTTTTCACATGGGGATGGATTAAAATTTATATCGGGCTCCTGTGTGATTTTGCAATTTCAGTCTGGAACTCAATTCTAAAGCTTTGCTTTTCCTATTGCTATTCAACTTTACTCCTGACAATATACAAGAACGATTCAAACGACCTAGATAAAATACTTGTTTTTAAATACAAGAGGGTGAGCATCCGGTAAAAAATGCAAATACACAGTTCACAAAACTTATTTGCAAAAAATGCAAAGAATCTTTTGCTTGTGCATATACAGTTGACCCCCCTATAACGTACGTTCCTATAACGACAATTCCTATAACGTAGCGAAAAAATTGTAGCAACTTTCGTATAACGTACCTCCTATAACGTCGTTTCGCGACAAGATTGATAGAGTCTGGACCAATAGTGGATGAGCAGCCGAACTACTTTCCTCCGACCCTGCGCCACGCTACGGAGCGGCTAAATTGAGTTTGCTATCGTCTGTTTAGTATTATATATAAATTATATATAAATTAGGTACTGTACATATAATTATATATTAATTATATATAAATTAGGTACTGTATATATAATTATATATTAACTTAATTTATTGTAACTTTATTATAATTATATATATGCTTTCTGCCGCCTGGCAACACGCTACGGAGATTTTAGGCTAGTAAGTTGAGTTTATTATCGTCTG